ATATATATATATCTTTGATATATATAGCTATATATTGTTGTTGTTGTTAGTTGCAAAGTAGTGTCCGACCCATCGTGATATATGATATATACATATGTGTGTATGTATATGTATATGTATATGTATATGTATATGTATATGTATATGTATATGTATATGTATATGTATATATATTTCAATACAGCTTTGACACGTTCGTATCACCAACTGTCTGCTTCTGTTTTCTCCTGATTCATTCTGGCACCTTGCCTGTAATTTAGTGTTTTAACAAAAAAAATTTAAAAAGTAACTTCTCAAGTGTTTTCTTTCTTATCTTTCTCCACTGGCAAAAGACAAGAGAATATAATCCTGATTACTTTGATAAAATTCTATTGAACTAGTATTATCACAATTATAGTTCCAGTTCAATCTACCTCACTGGCTATTATTGTTGAGATAAAATTAGGGGAGACTTCATGTAAACTATGTTCAGAAGATAGATGCCAATGGTGATAACAGTATTTATAATGACAATAATAATAATGTATTTACCAGTATATCTCTCTGGTAGCTCTTTGCATATAGTTATTGTTCCACAATTCATTTCTGAATCTACTTTCTTTCTTCTTGAGTTCTGAAATATTTTATTTATTTATTTATTGTTTCGATTTATATGCCGCCCTTCTCCGGAGACTCAGAGTGGCTTACAATGCGTTAAGCAATAGTCTTCATACTTTTGTATATACCTGCTTAGTAGGGCTTTCGGGGGCCCCCTAAGCGGTGTTCTTTTTTATACAAAGTCAGTTTATTGCCCCCACAATCCGGGTCCTCATTTTACCTACCTCGGAAGGATGGAAGGCTGAGTCAACCTTGAGCATGGTGAGATTTGAACTCGCAGTAATTGCAGGCAGCTGGCAGCTAAGTGCTACTTAACAGCACTTTAGTCCGCTGCACCACCAAGGCCAATATCTGTATTGGCAACACTTGGCCTATATAAATTGGATTTTATGGTTTAACTGGAAATTAAGATAGTATAAGCTTTCACAAGATAATCCCTGTGTATCTAAAAAGCAGAAGCATCTTTCAACTGTCTTTCTCAAACATATTATCATGCACTAAAAAGACAGGCTGCCATTTGACTTAATAGTCAAACAACTGATATTAAATGAGCAAAATGCGACTGGTCCATTTTTGAGCATCCAAACCCAAACAATACTATCATTTTACAAAAAGAGTACATTTTTCTAGGAGCAATTACATGCTCCTTCAAATTGAGGACTTTTGATTCTATGAAATACCTTGCATGCAATTAAGATTGCATTTTTCATCAATTGGCTTATGTGACTAATGTTGTTCAGTCGCTAAGTCGTGTCCAACTCTTTGTGACTCCATGTCCACAGCACATCAAGCCCCCCTCCATCCTCCACTGTCTCCCTGAGTCTGCCCAAACTCATGCCCACTGCATAGAGGACAGTATCTAACCATCTCATCCTCTGCCGGCCTCTTTCCTTTTGCCTTCAATAATGTACATAACTAATGACACTACACTAGTATGTCTGGTAGATAATAAGTGAACAAGTTACACAGAAAATACTTCCAAATATCCTTGGATGTACAAGCTAGAAATTAGATTAGATTAAAACTAGATTAGCCTAAATTTTTGATGTAACCTAAATAGAATATATTGTCTTAATCATTCTTTAAAAGCAGTGTCACTTCCTTATTATAATGAGAATTATATTACATCTCGAATCTTTGTACAAGCAAAGAAAATCCAGGAACCACATACACCCTAGCACATTCAAATATTCTATTAAATACTGAATTTAGAGCTCAATATTATGGTAGCCAGTCCTCCCGTTTGCTGTCACAACAGGACTTACTTTTAACTATAAATATTTTTTTAAAAGAATTCTTTCTCAGGTTTAGTTCTTTTGGAAATAGGAAATATAGTTCAATCAGGTCTGTACTTACTGGCTGCAATTCTATTTTTTTACACAACTTCAATTCTTACGTGGAAATACCAGAGATTGAATTTGGGATGCTTTGCATACAAAGCCCATGGTCTACTATTAAGATTATAGTTTATATTTTATACACCCAAAAGATTAAGGCTTGTGTCTTCCATCCAAAGGCCAGATAAACCTAAATATATTACTATTACAATGTTTTCTTCCAATGCAGGTATAAGTTACAGGATGCTATCTGTGTTCAGTGTTTCTCCATCCTTGAAGTTTGTCTGCAAGAAAAACTATCAGTATCTGCCTTTTGGCTGGAATCCAGTGTCTGATCATTATCTGTGTGTTTTGACTCACACAAAAAAGAATGTAGGGATCCATGTTGTGTAGGACTCAAAATAGCAGGAATGTAAGCTGCTGAGATGGCTGCATTGTAGAAATGGAGCCCAAATAGAATAGGGAGAAGAGGAAAAAAAGATAAATATCTAGTTTGTGATCGTTTTTTTTTTCTGAGATTAATACACTTCATTACCAACAGTCTAACATTCACATGTTGTAAATGAATTATGTAACAGTTTAATATATTAGTACCAATTTATACAAAAACCTGGGAAATCTTGATGTTTTGGTAGTGTACAGTTGTCTTGTTCTCTCAGCAACTTGGTGAGCATGATCAAAACATACAGATCAAGCATTTGGAAAGTGATGACAGTTTATTTCAATTATTTATGACAATTTATCATAATGTACAGTAATGGTACTTGTTGCATAGTGAAGTCTCTGTAATAAGAATCCTCAGTAGAGCATTCTTCCTACTGCTTCTCTTACATTAGACGTAACTGTTAATATTTTATGACTTCTTACTGTAAAAGGAGTACATACTGCTACATTTTTACATATAAGGTTATGAATTTATACATTCACTCGTAACTGCGTTCACATGTAACTGCCAGGAATACAAGCAATTCAATAAACTTTAAATTTCTGGTTCCAAATAGACAAGTTCTACATGTCAATTGTTCCTCTTCAAGCACCCCAATACCAAGTGCTGATTTCTATACTCTCAAGTAATTATATTTACTCAAGTAATCATATTTAGAAGAGAGGTACAAGTATTCACATGCTTGAATATAATGCTATAATCCCTATTCTCACCATTTGTTTCTGTCTCCAAGGAGACTGAATTTTTGATGGATAGTAAATTAACTATATATATGGGCATTAGGGAAAGACAGATACATAACTAAGTTTCTGGTGTTACATTTTTAAAGGGATTCAGGTAAATTGAAACACATTTGAGAAGGATAACAAGGATAATCCGGGGAGTAGTGAAAAAGGACTGAAGAATCTGAAATGATTAGCCTTGAGAAGTATTGGGGAGGTGGGGGGTGGAGAAGGGGTGGAAAGAAGGGGCGAGTGCACTCCTCAAATACTTGTATCACACAGAGGTAAGTCAAGACTTGTTCTCTATGGTTCCAAAATGCAGGGCATAAGCATTTAAGCTAAAGGAAGGCAGATTTGACAGTGAAATCAATTACCTGGAGTGGCAAAGGGCTCTGCTTTGCTAGATGTGTTTAAAAGAAGGTTAGGTTCTTATCTTTGGGGATGCTTTAATTTTCATTCCTGCGCTGAACAGAAGTTATACTCAGTGAACTCTTCCAACTCTATAATTTTAAGACTGAATTCTTGCAATTTAGTGTTCACACGTGATTAGTAAAAATGTTTTAAGTAAATTTCATATTTATTTTAATTCAGATTGGATTTGCTAGTAAGATTATATTGCTAAATAATTATATATCTTTTGCTCCTATTGCAATAACAAAACATTGTAACGATTTTCAATTTTTCCTTTTAAATGATCAGTAATTCCAATTGTAATGTATATTGCTGGCATGCAGTATATATTCTTGTGTAACATGGCATATCAAATGTGAGTCAACAAAACTGTTAACTAGCCTGAAGTAATTTAGAGGCAATGATCAGCAGTTCATCACCTTGACAGATGGCCAAAATTTGTGGGCGGCACCAGATCTGTTCTCTCCTGGGTCAGGAGACAAGCAAGCTCTCACCTCTGATGTCACATGCAGTTTTGAAAGCATTCAGAACCAAGAAGCATTTTGCTTTCCAAGTACCTGTAAAGCCCAGAGAAAGGTCAGTGTGCTTACTCTTTTCCTGAGCCTAGATAAAGATAAGAGCTTGTTCCTGATGTCATGCTATGTTTTAGAGAAATTTCAAAACCTCAGCATGATTTCAGAAGAAAATCTCCCCTCCTAATTTATCCAAAATCTGGAGAGGCATGGAAGCTCATTCTTGATATAATACTAGATTTTAGATGCGTATAGAAGCAGTGAGATGCCTTAGGACTCTGTGGATGCCTATGAGCCCCAAGATGAGGTCACAGACCTCACCTGTCTCCTGCAAGACAAAAAGATATGTTCACTATTGGAAATTGCATAATTTATGCAAAGATGTTTCTTGTACTTATCACCTTCTAAAACATCTGATTTTCTTTATCTCACCAGCCAGGAAAATAATTTTACTATTCATCCCACAGTAATGCTAAATCCACTTTTAACTACACTGATGCCCTACACGTTTACAGACATATAATTCCAGTTCATTTTAACTTAACTGACTTTTTTAGTAGGTTAAGGTTCAGTATATAAATATGTTTCTGATTGTGGTGCTAGACCACTCAAGGAGAAAACTGCCAATTTTAATTAGCATACTTGTATTTGAAATAAACATTTTACAGAGCACATATATACACACAATTTTGTTAGTGACAGCAGCAGCAACAGCAGAAGACAATATTACGTTTATTTAACATTATGTTAAAGGTTTAAAATCCTTAGAGGATTGCTTCCAAGAAACCTTTCAGTTAAGCTGTCCCTTCTCACATCTTCTAAATTGTTATAAACATGCTTTTCTGTATTCCTTGGTTTTTTAAACTTGTTCAGGTCAAATACATCTGATATTTTAAGTTAAATTCTGCCTAAAAGTGGTCAACTTTGAGAACACAGAAAATATTGCATAGGCAGTTAGATTAATCAATTTACATACCTGTGGTTTCTCAAGTTCCCCGAGCCTAGTCATGTGTACACTGTCTTCATTTTCTCATAGAGAGCAAAAAAAAAAACTTCTACCAATGTTTGTATTTGGTTTTCACACTGCCATCTATAGTTAAATGGGAGAAATTAAATATATTACATCTGCTGTAGCTAACTGTCACATCCAAAACTCTAGTCCAGAATGCATGAAAAAGTCTCAGGCATTCCCACCAATAAATGCATTATGTCCATCAATTTTTTACAAGGTAATCTAATACATGTGTAATCAAAAGTAAATCCAACTCATTCTCAGAAAGTTCAGTATAGGATTTCAGCCTTTAAGTATTCATTTTATTTCATTGAAATTGTATGAAGGGTAAAAAAAAGTAAAATATCATCTCTGCCTTAATGAATGTTTTATCTGCTACATTGCCTGGTATAATAGTTTATAAAAGTATAGCAAATTGCTGTGATTATCTAGTAATAAATGCAGACACTATCATAAGCATACAGTTTACAAGAAATATTATTCTACAAAATATGTACACATTTTGGAAGCTAGTAAATAAAATTTAAAGGGAATAAAGATATATTTAAGAGAACATTCATATGTAATACAACTAATCTCAACCAACATATTGATCAGTCTCATCAGAAATCCTGATCACTTTATTATAATATCTTTAATATTCTTACATTTTATATGCTTCTTGCAAACAAGTCCAATGAGTCCTCTATCGTAGAGGTTTTTCCTTAGCAGTGCTATTCTATTGCCATCACAACTACTGTACTAATAAAAGTTAAGTTGGAGGATAATCCCTTAAAAACTGGACATAGGTTGGTAGCGATTATTTTATCTTAAATCAGATTCCAATGCTCCGTTGCATCTTGCCTCTTCCCTCTTCCATGCAGGGCTGTGGGCTAATCTCCTCCTTCCTCGAAATTACTCCTGAATAAAGACCCGTGTTTTTGCACATGGCAAGCAAGCCTCCCTGCCCACTCGCCGCCAAGCCACTTGTCAACGTGTCTAACACGCTGTTTTCGCTCTCTTCCCCACTACAGCTCCCCTAAGTCGAAATCACAAAGTAACAACAAAACGCAAGGTAGTTCCGATATGCCTGATGCTGCCATAAACCACATCATACACACATTTAGTTTACAGTAGCATGCGTGTGCATTTTTAGATTGTCAGTGGTTGAAGAATTAAGGGAAGGAGAAACAAACCTGATTTTCCCTCCCTCGATTCACGCTCTCTCGCAGTCTTCACTTCCATCCAGCCAAAGGAAGATATCAAGTCGTAAACCGTAATCTCTGAGGTTGAGAAAGACAGACTGGCACCCACGACACACACGTACCCAGAGCCATCCCGAACTCGCTGTTGGCTCTTGGATGCCGGCCTCCCATCTGCTGTCCTGTTCCCTCTTCTTTTCCCCGCCCCAAATGCATGTCTGCAGCCACCACCGGCTGACAATGCGGTGGAAACGGGTGTTGCCCACCTGCGCACATGGGCTTCGGCTCTCCCTCGCGCGCACAGCCTCTCTTCCTGCTGGTGCCGCAGGATGAAGTGTCTGCTGCTCTTTGCAGCTCTCTGGACGTCCCCCCACCTCCTCTCACGCAGCCCGCTCCAAACAGCCAGGGGGAGCCTCACACTGCGGGTGCCGCTCCTTCGCCGCCTGGGATTCCTAAGGAGGGAGGTAAAACGAGCAACTCCTCTCCTACCCTTACACACGCCACGATTCCCGCCCCAGGAGGCCCGCCAAACGCGCGCGCGTCCTTTGTGAGGTACGTTCCTCCCGCCGGGGCTCCTACGCCAGCGCCCCGGAGCTTGCAAACTCCTGGCTCATAGAGTATAGCCGGTTCCCTCCCTCTTTCCTCTTCCTCCCCCCCCGCCTTGCTTTTTGATCACATGCCCGCGTCTCAGGCGCCGCTTGCTGAGCGCAAACCTCACGCCAGCCTGCCAACTGCCTACACACAAGCAGTCCGCCCCCTCTACCCGCCTGTACTAAGGGACGGAATACACACGCACACACCTGCCCAAAGCATATGAGACACCTCACTAAGCTGCCTTCTTCACTGCCCTCTTCCTTTTCGACCAGCCTCCACCACCGCGAAAACTTGTCCAGCCCACCTGTCTGCGTTCCCTCCCCACCACACACTCAGCCGTCCCTGCAAGCTAACCAGCCACCCACACAGCGAGTGAAAACGGGTGGCAGAAGCGCGAATGGTACGCTTAGACCCGTTCCCCACACAACGTCCATCACTCTGCGTGCACACAAAGATCAACGGACTCTTTCCTTTCCAAAAGCTACTAACCCAAAAACGTGGACGGCCCCCACTGAGAAAGATAACGGGGGGCGGTGGGAGGAAGAGAAAATAGAGCACTCTTGGCATTTAAGTCACTGCTGTGGTCTCGAATTGAGTCTATAATGAGCAGAAGTATTTGGATTTTAAATAGTTTCACCCAACTTCCAGTGAAACATACTTGCTTGGAAGGAAAAACATTTCAAATCTTTTCTGATTCTGGCACACAAGGCTGGAAGTGCCTAGTCATCTCAATCTAACAATTCAGTCTGGAGCCTTATTGAAGCTGATGGAATCACTTCTGAGTTATTTATGTTTATATGGTACCCCTACCATGCCATCTAAATGAAAGGTTTTATTTGAAAATCAAAATTCTAGTCCTTGCTAAAGTTAATGACAGCTTTATCTTTGAGTCAAGTAAGGTGATTGCATCAGGCAGTGCACCAGTTGTGAGGGCTATAAACTTCACATCCTTCCAGTAAATGGAAATACAATTTGTTCTAGGTAGTTTGTCCTGCAGAAGGATATGGTATCTTCACCACCACTTTTCTGCAAGTCAGCTGATGCAGAGGAAGACCTTGTCTTTAATCTCAAACAGCCAAATTTATTGAGCTAGGTGTGTTTTATTTATTCAGTTTATTTTATTATTTTACATCTCTGGATGGCTTATAATTAGAACATAAGCAAAAAATTAATAAAACACATACAAACAATGCAAACATTTTAAAAAATTAATTAAAAACCATACAGTACAATCATCAGGAAAATTGATGCACATTGGCTATACTGGCACAGTATTCTACTGTGCTTTAAAGTCTAAACAGTGTTTTCCAATCATGGCAAATTTAAGATGTGTGGTCTTCAACTCCCAGAATTTCCCAAGCTCCTAAAAATTTGGAGAGCTGAAGTCCACTCATCTTTAAGCTGCCAAGGTTGAGAAACACTGATCAAAACCCATTTATTCCAAGTTAAATTCTAATTTATTTTGATGGATTTGTAGGACAATCCTATACACATATCAGAAACAGCTTTCTTTGGTACTTTCTCATATTTTAGGTAGAATAACACCTTCATTTCTTCTAGCAAATGTGGTTGACTTGTAGGCTTGTAGAGAGGCCTAGGTAGATGGATTGTCCAATGCATATGCAAGGGATATTTCCATTACCCATAAAATATAATCTCATTCAAATCAAGCTTGACTCCTAATGATTTCACATACGTGTATGTGTAGTTTTCTTGGCAATAATATAGAAAAACAGTTTGCCATTTTTGCTGGGATACAAAAGTATTAGGTTATATTATATATGTTACACTACATGCAAGTGCAACCTTTCCTTTGCAGACCTTTTATTAGCAAAACAAAAAACAAAAATCCCACCCATTTGTACCTAAAAAAGACCTTTGAACTGGAAATCTATATTGGAATTTTAAGAACACAAAACTAATGAAATCCTGTTGCAACAAAATTTCTAGTAATAAAAATAATAAGTATCTATCTCAATTTCACCGGGAGGCTGCAAGTTTATTCGGTTTCATAGCATTATGGCTGAAATGAGATGGGAGTTTATTTTCATAACACTTCCCTCTGACCTTGCAAACATGATAGGGACCAGGTTCAGTTTCTCACTTCACATAAACCTTTCAGACCTAAACTATTTATGCTGATAAAGAGAGCCCCTATCCTGCCCTTACTGAAAAAAAATATATAGAAACATTGCTTACTATTAACAAAAACAGGATAGAGTGCTCCATCACTGGATATTTTCAAGACAAATTTTGACAGCCATTTGTCTGAAATGGTATAGATCTCCTGCTCGAGCAGGGACTTGGACTAGATGACTTCTAAGGGCTTCTCCAACTCTCTTGTCCTATTAATCCTGTTTAAAAAATGAAATTGACTAGAAGCAATGGAGACTCAGTTCTTTTGGATTGAGGAAAGCAAGCCTTATAAAGAAATTGAAATAAAGTAACTGGTAAGAGACACCTAATGCCATCAAAATTCCTCACTTGCTGACAAAGACTAACTATTTCCAGAATGCCTGCCTGCTCTAAAAAAGTATAATGGTTCTCAACATAACTTATCAGTTTTCCCTGTACCGTCCAAAGATCCTGACACCCAATCAGAATTATATAATTTCCCATTCCATAATTCCATAAAACATTTTTATATTTAAAAAAATCTTCCCTCCAATTGTTCTTAGTTCATTTTCCTTTGTAAACTGGAACCCATTGATTGTTGTTTTAATAAAGTGTGATCTTCCTCCTCAGAGTTATGATCCATTTTTTGTATCACAACAATATTTTAATCACAATATCCTTTACTCAGCAAGGAATAAGTGAAGGGTGTGGGGGAGGGGAGATTAAGTTGCAAACCATATCTGAGAAGCGTATCTATGTAATGATTCACAGCCTAAGTAAAAAAGGAATTACCTGCCTTAGGGAAAGATTTTGTACATTTTAAATTTTAAATATGTTAATCAGCAAACATAACAAAAACACCTTTTAAACACGCATCAATTAAACTCTATTGCATGTACAGTACGGAACAAAATATTGGATAAAATATCACAGCTCCAGAAATAACTTTTGCGGTGTATGTATATACTACAGCATGGAAATTATATGGTATACTGCAAAACATAATATATAAAATTGAAAGCATTTTAATTACTTAATGAGTCTATAGAAGTCAGTAAATACTAACATAATATTCATTCCTTCTGCAAGATAAATTTCATCTAATCAAACATTATTGTGCATCCTGTGAATTCATTTTTATTATAGCTTTATTAGTTTGATAAACTGGTTTCAAATTCACTTGGTTCTGAGCCAATCATGTATGGAAGAAAGCTATGCAATATAAACTTTATATCTGAAATGAAAGATGTACACGTATAATCTAGAACGGGTGTCAAACTCAATTTCATTGAGAGCCGCATCAGGGTTGTGTTTGACCCTGGTGGGCCAGGGTGGGCATGGACAGCTCGACGTCGCTCGTATCGGGGGCACCTGTGGCAGCCCGAGTGTTCTGCCAGTGAAAACAGGCTTCCGAGCTCCATTTTCAGCTGTAATGGCCTCCTGCAACCCTCTGCCAGCAAAAATGGAGCTCGGGAGGGCTGCCCTTCCGAGTTCCATTTTTGCTGGCAGAGGCACTGCGGGCTGGTGCTTTGTTGTTTCCAAGATGGCCCTGTGGGCCAGATCTAACTACCCCATGGGCCGGATCCGGCCCCCGGGCATTGAGTTTGACACCCCTGATCTAGAGCAAATTATTAATAATAATAATAATAATAATAATAATAATAATAATAATAATCCGCCGATACATTACACAGTCCTAAACGCTTGGGAAGTGTTCGACTAGTGATTTGTGATACGAAATACAGCATCGTTATCTCATTTGCTGTGTATACTGTCATTTTTGTGTATATAATATTAATAATATAATCCAGGAGAATCCAAGACCTTCGTGCCTTCCGCCGTTCCCTTAAAACTTTCCTTTTTCAACAAGCCGGGCTGGCCTAACAAATCCTTTTAAATGATTTTAAATGATTTTAAATTCGTTTGTCTTTTTAAATTTTGGGCCAAATTGAGATATTTCCTTTTAATCTGTTCTTAATCTATGTATTATGTATTACGTATTTATATGTTTTTACTTGGCTGTACACTGCCCTGAGTCCCTAGGGAGAAGGGCGGTATATAAATCTAAAGTAAAATAAAAAAAATAAAATAAATAAATAAATAAATAAATAAATAAATAATAATAATAATAATTTGGAATACAATACACCAGATATCATGGTTGTTGAGAGCCGAAGCGTACAGTTTATTGATATCGCTGTACCAGGAGACGCCAGAGTTGAAGAAAAAGAACTGGAAAAAAATCACAAAATATCGTGACCTGGCCATCGAAACTACATGGTTATGGATGAAGCATGTAACAGTGATACCCATTGTCATCGGGGCACTTGGTATCATGTCTAAGAATTTTACAAAACACATCAAGAAGTTGCAGCTTCCTGCAATAACACCAGCAGAACTGCAAAAAACTGCGCTACTCGGAACATCATATATTTTAAGAAGATACTTGGTTGATACATAGGACTCTGGCAGCAACCCGTATCAACCATTAGCACTAGTCAATGATATTTGTGACACATGTTCAGTTGACTGAGTTTCATGTTTAATTAATAGTAGTAGCGAAGGTTGTTGAGAGTGTGGTGATGCGACAGCTTCCCCAGTACCTGGATGAAACGGTTTATCTGGATCCGTTCCAGTCGGGCTTCAGGCCTGGATACAGCATGGAAATGGCATTGGTCGCATCGGTTGATGATCTCTGGAAGGCTCGGGACAGAGGTCGTTCCTCTGTCCTGGTCCTATTAGATCTCTCAGCGGCTTTTGATACTATCGACCATGGTATCATGCTGCACCGGTTGGAAGAGTTGGGGGTGGGGGGCACCATGTTGCGGTGATTCTCCTCCTTTCTCTCTGACCGGTCACAGTCTGTGTTGGCAGAGGGGCAGAGGTCAACCCCGAGGCGCCTTATATGTGGGGTGCCACAAGGGTCGATCCTCTCGCCCCTTCTGTTCAACATTTATGTGAAGCCACTGGGTGAGATCATCCATGGTTTCGGGGTGAAGTACCATCAGTACGCTGATGATACTCAGCTGTACATCTCCACCCCGGACCACCCCAATGATGCCCTTGAAGTGATGTCCTGGAGGCCGTGCGGATCTGGATGGGGAGAAACAGACTCAGGCTCAACCCATCCAAGACTGAGTGGCTGTGGTTTCCGGTGTCCCGATATAGTCAGTTGGTGCCATCACTGACTACTGGGGGCGAGTCATTGGCCCCTATGGAGAGGGCTCGCAACTTGGGTGTCCTCCTAGATTCACAGCTGTCTTTAGAAGAGCATTTGACAGTTGTGGCCAGGAGGATTTTTATCAGGTCTGCCTGATTCGCCAGTTGCGTCCCTTTCTGGATCGGGACTCCTTACGCCGGTCACTCATGCCCTCGGGAAATGACGAGTACTGGACTACTGTAATGCTCTCTACCTGGGACTCCCCTTGAGGAGCACCCGGAGGCTTCAACTGGTTCAGAGTGCGGCCACGCGGGTGGTTATGGGAGCGACATGGCAATCCCATGTAACACCTCTCCTGCGCAAGCTGCACTGGCTCCCGGTGGTCTTCCAGGTGTGCTTCAAGGTTTTGGTTACCACCTTTAGAGCGCTCCATGGCTTAGGACCTGGTTACTTACGGGACCGCCTTCTGCCACCAGTAGCCTCTCACCGGCCAGTATGCTCACATAGAGTGGGGCTCCTCAGGGTGCCGTCGGCCAAACAGTGTCGACTGGTGGCCCCCAGGGGGAGAGCCTTCTCTGTGGGGGCACCTGCCATCTGGAATGAGCTCCCCCTGGAGATATGGACGATCCCGGATTTACGCACCTTCTGCCCTCAAGACCTTTTTATTTCAGCAGGCTGGCCTGGCCTAACTTCCCTTTTAAATTGTAAATTGTAAATTTGTTTTAAAATATTAGGGGTGTTTTAATTTGTAAATTATCTAATGGGTTTTTATATTGTCTTTTAAATTTTGTAGTTCGTGTGTTTTATCTTTTTGGCTGTTCACCGCCCTGAGTCCTTCGGGAGTAGGGTGGTATATAAATCCAATAAAATAAATAAATAAATAAATAAAATAATGCTTAATGCATTTTCTAATTGTTTTACATGGTTGCTTTATGATGTTGTAAGCTGCCCAATGTCAGTGAGATGGGTGGAAAGAAGAAAGAGAAAGAAAGAAAGAAAGAAAGAGAGAGAGAGAGAGAGAGAGAGAGAGAGAAAGAAAGAAAGAAAGAAAGAAATTTATCATGTTTGTGTGTGTGTGTGTGCAAATATGAGCTCTGACCAATTAAACTGAAAAAGATTTATACATTGTATACTGTCATATACATACAGTATGTGTGTGTGTGTGTATTATTTTGTGTTCGTGTGTATCAATCTAGGAAATATCATTCTATAATTCAATGATTATCAGAAATTAAATCTTAAAATGTCTTTTGCTGAAACTTCCTATGTAAAACCCCAGCTTGCAGACTCAGTGTACCATTATTTTCTGCTGTGTACAGCAGTTATTATAGTTTCAGGTAGGTTGACCAATATAAAACAGGAATCTGTAATCGTTTGGTTAAAAAAAGGATTACAATTGATACAGAGACTACTTACATAATAGTGCAATCTTACACAAATCTATCGTATTTATCTTCAGGTAAATATCTTACAACATTGCAACTATGTTAAAAATAATTTCAACCATTTCTTTCTAACCAGTAGCCAAAAGCAGTGCAAGTCAGAGGTGAAATTCAGCAGGTTCTGACAGGTTCTGGAGAACCGGTAGCGGAAATTTTGAGTAGTTCGGAGAACCGGCAAATATCACCTCTGGCCGGCCCCAGAGAGGGGAGGGAATGGAGATTTTGCAATATCCTTCCCCCAGGAGTGGGGAAGGAATGGGGATTTTGCAGTATCCTTCCCCTGCCACGCCCACCAAGCCATGCCCACAGTAAAAAAATTCGGATTTCACCACTGGTGCAAGTTTATTATGAAAGTTTAAATATGTATATAATTTTTGAAGATATGTATCTAGTGACATATTTGCACTGTTCCTTAAAATTACTAGTTCAGACATAAATAAGATTTCCTGAACCTCTCATAATTGTATAAATGAGGAAAATTTAGAAGATGCAATGTGACATATATTTTAAACAACATCTGCTGATATTTCTGCTGCTTCTGCACAATTATTAAAGGTATCCTTTTTGTGGACAGGGTATCCCAGTCTCATACAGTGGTATCTTAATATTCATTGTTAATTGGTTTCAGAAGGTGCAATGAGTACCAAAAACTGAGTACCAAACAAATTTTTCCCATAAGGAATAATGTAGTGAGTCACAAGGCAGCTGACACTGACAAGTTCTAGCTTTTGCGTTTGGTAACAAACGAATGATGAGTATCAAGACAAAATTTCAAAATTGAATATCAAATTTGATGAGTTTCAAAGTAATTGAGTAACAACATACTACTGTATAAGAGATATTATTTCATCTTCTTGATGAATAATCCTTTCCTATCTTTTAAGACTGAATAAACGTAATTAGCTTGTCTTTTCTAATATTAAACCAGCTTTTGTTTTTTCAGGCTAAAAAATAAGTCCAACTGGGAGACTTGCTGTAAGCACCATGGTGAGCGGATGCCTTACTGGATTATGCTGCGTAGCAAGACAACTTTTGGGGGGAAAATTGCTGCTGAATTCTGGATCCAAGCCAGTGTAATCTACCCAGAGCAAAGGAGATATCATTGAGATCATCTACCTGACTCCAGACTGTGGAGCAGACTGTGGAAACTGCCATTTTTATGTTCAGCTTATGAATGGAGTATCTGGGAATCAGAACTACATCAAGCTTACACTTTCAAAGCAGCAAGGTTGACTCAGCCTTCCATCCTTCTGAGGTCGGTAAAATGAGGACCCAGATTGTTGGAGGCAATAGGCTGACTCTGTAGACCGCTTAGAGCCAGCTGTAAAGCACTGTGAAGCGGTATATAAGTGCTATATAAGGACATTGGTCTCGGGCTGAGCCTTGTATCTTAATCACTTTTAAATTTGCTTATTTATTTATCTGCATATTGGAGAGATTAAGACCAAATATCTCCAATATTAAAACCTCTCAGCAAGGCTTTACTGCATCAATCAAGTGAGTTTCTGCCTCCTTAAAAGACAATGGTGTAAATTTGATTTAAATGTTTTTTTAGAAAAAAAACATGCTGTGTTTTTTTGGGGGGGGAGGGGCTATGCAACAAAAGGGTACCTAGTATATAGATTTTGGAAATTTGATTATGGATTAAGGGGCCAGAGGTGTTTGGAATTATCATTTTGAATTGTTTAGAAAATATTTTGTCATAGGAAAATGGAGATTACTTTTGTTTATTTTATGACAAGGAGACCTTGAAGGCTGAACACTAGAGTCAGAAGATAAAGAAAGTTGAGAAAAATCCTCAGTACAAATTTTTGAATATCTTTCAATCAGGCTTTTAAACAGAATGGATGAAGTACTTGATAAAATTGACAGAAGTTGCAAAGTAAGAATGAGTTACAATGGAGGTCTATTAATTAATTTGAAGAGGGATTTAAATGTAATGCAAATGGATTTAATGGATGACTCATTCCCTAAATGAAATCAACAGATATTAAATTAAGAAACTGATCTGAATTATTTTCTGGATAGATGTCATTTTAAATGCATAGTTTTAAAATTTCAGTGCACATACAGGTAGTCCTCAAGCACAATTAAATCCAAAATTTATGTTGCTAAGTGAGAAATTTGTTAAGTTTGGCCCCATTGTATGACTTTTATAACTTTTCTCACCATATTTGTTAAGTGAATCACTGCAGTTCTTAAATTAGTAACTTGGTTGTTAAGTGAATTGCTTTCCCCATTTACTTTGCTTGTCAGAAGGTCACTAAAGGGGATTGCATGACTCTGGACACTGAAACTGTCATAAATGTGAGTCAGTTGTCAAGCATATGAATGTGAATCATATGATTATGGGGATGCTGCAACAGTCATAAGTGTAAAAAATGGTCATAAGTCACTGTTTCATTGCTATTGTAACTTCGAACGGTCACTAAATGAATTGTTGTAAGTCAAAGACTATCTGTAGTTTTAAAGTTTCAATTGCTTTACTATTTATCTTTTTATGTTCTGTAAGCCACCCAGAGTCACCCAATTGGGGAGCTGGACAGCATATAAATTAAATAAATAAATGGGGGAAAAAACAGCATTGCTAAAATTTAGAAGGACCTTTTTTGGAAGTGACAATCAAAAGGATAAATTTTGCTTATTGATACAAAAGAAACCTGTTAAAATTCTGAAGGATTTTCACTTTAAAACACAGATGAGCAGAAAACTACCTCTTGAGACTTTTGATTTTGAAAGGTTTAAAGATTTTTTTTTAATCATGGAAAATTTATATGATTGATTGAGCAGGATTAAAAGAAATAAATAATTGTACAGTATCTGGTTGCCCTTACTGGAGGTTTGCTGACAAAGATTGACTGATGTAGCATTTGGACCTGTTTTCCATATCTAAGAGATGAGCTATGAATAGAAGAGAGATTGTTTTATTTATTTTATTTTACCTGCTGGAATTTTCTGTACCTAAAAAATGCTTCAGCCCTTTTGCTTAAATAATCATTCCTGCACATGTCTATCAAGGTCATTTTGCTTACTTTGAGCATATGTGTACTCATAATAGGATCATCCTTTTGAACCTAGTGTCTACCAGAAATGTTTGACTTCATATCACAGAATTCCCCAGTTACTTTCTATATACTTCACTAGAAGGGTGACATAAAATACTATATATTAGTTTGCTTGTTTGTTTGCACAACATAGAGTCTGCCCAAATCTATAGCTGCTTAAAAATAGATTGCATTAGCTGGAATGAATTGTTCAATATAAATTTATAACATGCTTCAACAACAAATGTTCATTAATAAATAGAAAAAGAAAAGCTCATAGGAAGCTCAGTAAAACAACCACCAACATACAAAAATAATTCAGATGCTCTAGTGCTACTAGTTTACTTACGTATAAAATATCAAAACTAGATCCACGGTATGACTATGTTCATTGAAGAAAGATGATGCAAGATGAAAAAAGCAAACAAATGGTTCTCCCCAAAATACTAGTATCTCTGAGCAAGTTGGAACTGATCAGCCAATCACTAATAAAGTATAGATGGTAGAAGATCAAAACATCTTTGTGTTGTTGGGTCCTCCATTAATGGAAGCAGTGGTTCTCTTCTCTTCGAATCAACCATTAAAATGCCTCTAGCTATCTTCATTTTCTAATGACCTGCAAAATGAGTGTGTGTTTCTATCCTATCTTTTTTTGACAATGGGAAAACCAGTGGACATATTTTTGCAATCTTCTTGAGTAACAGCAACATTTCTGCTTCTTCCAATAGCATGGCTTCTCCTTGATGCTTCCATCATGCAACCCCTGTGCTTAATATTTGACAATCTATAATTATGTTATCCACTTTTGTCTTTAATTAAGAAATTAGGAAACAGAAATAATTAAAGCAGAAAAGACAGAGTAGCTATATAGTATCTTTTGACTGGAAATAATAGGAAGTATTTATTTGGACTAGGAATTACCTTCAACCATGACCAGAATCTTTAAGATAACCTTTTCTTTTCTTTATATCATCATTCCAATAAGATATTTGGACCAGTTGTGATACAGTGATCATCATGGAAATGGTGAGCCAAGGCATGAATGACCATGGGTGGCACCTCCGGATCCAGCAATAGAAGCAACTGGTACACAGGATGCATTTCTGCAAAAGGTCTCCTAGCCATCTGATCTTCAAGTACTGTAGAAGTTGAAAGTTTTGAAGGATCCTCAAGTTGTACTCCAGTTCCACACAGATGGATTTTTTATATTGTTAAATTTGTTTCTTTGTTTTGTTTTTTATTACTAATTTTAATGTGTTATTTTTGATTTAAGAATCCAGATAGTTTATATTTCATTTGCCAGTGGAGATAAACATCCTGCCTACCTGCTGGAAGAAAATGTTAGAGGATGCAAGTCCAGAATAATCTATAATCCTTAGCAAATGATATACATGACAATATCCAAATTGTGCTGGCCCTTGAAGCAACACCCCGAAATCATACAATGGTTCTGTAGTAGAGTATAGAGCCCCTTCCCATTTACTGTTACTATTTAACCCAGTTCCTGGTGTAATGTAACTTGTAACTTAACAAATTTGTTTTGGTTTGTTACTGCCTAAATTGTAGACAGTATTAATCTTGAACTGCTCACTCAATTTAAATGATATATTTAGGTTTTAATTACTTGGTACCCATAAGAAACTAATCCAGGTACTAACTATATGTAACAATTGTCAGTAATAAATATTTCAGATTTTGTTGGTAGATCTTTGACCTTTCCTGGTACAAAAGGTTATTGGACAAGTCTTCAGTTTTGACCAGCACTTAGAATTTATTGATGGGCTGCAAGAAAACATTACTTTAGATTCCTTACTCATTTTACACTCTCAAACAGATGGAATAAATATGTTATGTAAAAATGAATTTACATATTTTTTTAAAAAGTGCAAATGCATTGTAATTTTTAACAAAATCTGATCAGTTGGAAAAGGAAAGCTGCCTACCCCCATTAACCCTTAAGTCTTTCTATTTGAGGTTTAGGAAAACCATCTGGAGTTTTCACAATTTTCCCTTCTCTTTCATGTTCTCTTAATTTATAAAAGGAATAGTCAGCTGGCTAGACTCTAAATTCAGAACATTTCATTCTAGATTTTATTGACATTTTTCCATTTTATTTATCATTTTAAAACACTATTATCTGAGCCAACAGAAATACACAGCCATTCTATAAAAATTACATACATTTACAGAACAATGAGAAAGTTCAGATATCTTAATGACTATCAAATTAGAAGATGATTTGCATATGAAACATCAGTATGCATTTCTTTACATATCCGCAGTAGGCAGTATTATATTTAATTGGCAATACCAAGATCAAACTAGACCTAAAAGTGGCACAAGCATTGTGGTCCAACCTTATATGTCTTGCCAGAGCAACACCAGAGCTTTCTCTGTTCACCTTCACAATGCTTGGTTTCCTTTTACAATTCTAACTGCTTGTTCTACCAACTGTCTTGGAAACTTTCCCATTCAGTACAAAAAAGTCAGGACAGGATTTGATACTGACAGTGAGGACAGGAGTGGGATGCACAGCCTGTCTTCTCCGCCATGAATTATCTGAAAATGTGAAGAAATGACACCTGCATAGTGCTTGTATGTGACAGTAAATTCAGTTTCATATTATTTTTATAAGGTTGATGTCTGTATATAATACTCATAGAGGGCAAAGCTTGCTGTGAACTGTGGTGGAGTTTTAATTATGGATTTTGTTTTGTTTTTGGCATGCCATATGCCCAATGAAAATCACACAAATATTGCTATCTATTGAACAAATCACATTCCTATGAATTCAGGTAGCAATATTAAGGATCTAAATTAATCAAGACCCTACAACAGGGTAGAGATGCAAATCATATTCTTCTGTAGATTTGTCTCTTTTCACTCCTAAAATTTCATAAAAATAGAAGCACAAAAGAGCATTTAATATTAGAGGGAGTTTGATCCTGAGCCCCTGTTGCCTATGCAAACTTTGTTAGAGTTTGCAGCAATCCAACCAGCACACAAGTAAAGAATTCAGTAGGATTCATTTATAAAAGAAACTTCTTTATATACAGTAATATAAAGCATGATGCATGCTTTACAATACCCATGCAGCAGAAGCTAGAACCAGAACTCAGAATCCAGAAGTACAGAATCAATAATCACAGAAGCACTCATGTATATATATAGATCAGTGAACCTAAGCCACGCGCTCCGAGCCATCTGGGTCACCAAACAGTCCCCATTGACTGACCAGTTACCATGTCTATTCCAATTCATGAACCCTTATACACTGACAAACATTTTCCTGCAAATAATTTTTATGTAGGTTTACATTAAAAAAATAGATCCTGTACATGCAGTCTGATATGGCATACTGTAATCCATTCTGTCATCTAAGAATTCTACCATATCATTTTGCTTAATTTCATGTTTGTAGAATAATATGCTAACAAATGATAAGCAGTTAATTTATGTAGATGCATGTGTGAATCAAGCCAAAGTCTAATAGTGTAAAAGAATTTTAAAAAATGTGAAGTGGAAGCAGAGTGATATGGCTTTAGGGTGCACTGCAATGAAAATAGGATGCCTAATGTATCACCAAAGGGATAATGCACAGAAGAAAAAACATGCATGCACCATGCACAGAAGAAAAACAGTTAAACAACAATAAAAGTATTATTTAGCTGATCAAAAGTTAAAGCAGATTGCATGAAAAAGTGATGAGATCCTGCAGAGAATTGTTATTCTTTAGATCAGGGGTCCTCAAAATATTTAAACAGGGCCAATTCACAGTCCCTCAGACTGAGGGGGGGGCCGGACCAGCTGGGTGGGCATGGCTAGGTGGTCATGTGACTGGGTGGGTGTGGCAGTCCATTAAACAATACACACAAACTTTAATTTGTTTTGCTCCTGGGGCTGTTTTATTTGCTTTTGTTTGCATGTTGCTCTTTTGGTTGATTTTTCTTTTTACTAGATTGTTTTTTAAGTTGTTTAAGACTCTAGTGGTCCACTTCAGGAAACTCAGTTTTGCAGCAATTCTTCTCCCCCCCTTTCTCTCCCCCCCCCAGAGGGGCGGGGGGGAAGGAACCCCTGAACTAGTGCTGGGTGGTGGGAATCTGATGTCTGAAGGCCAAAGTGTGGCACGCCAAAAACCACTGGCTGGTGGGGAGGCAGGGCAATCCTGCAGTTTCCCCAAAAGTAACACACCTCTTTTACTTGAAACTTGAAGAATAGTCTGGCCGGCAGGTGGGTGGCCCTCCTTCAATCCAGTCCTCCTGCAGCACTCTGCCAGCTATGTGGAGGCCTTGGGAGGCCTCCATGTACCCTGTTTTTGGCCTCCTGAGGCCTCTGTGCACCCGATTTTTGGCCTCCCCCACCTCCAGTAGCACACTGCTGGCCAAAAATGGGCCTGTTTTTGGCCTCCCAGGGCCTCTGTGTGCCCTGTCTTTGGCCTCCCCTGCCTCCAGTAGCACTCTGCTGGCCAAAAATGTTCGCCTTACCTTCTAGTTCCAGCCCACAGGACTCGCAAAGGTAAGTCCTGCACTCAGCTGAAGGGTGGGGGCCAGCGGGTGGGTGGGGCAATGTGGGTGGGGCAGCCTCGTGGTCCCATGCAGGCTGGGTTAATGGCTTTGGCAGGCCATATCCTGCCCACAGGCCATAGTTTGAAGACCCCTGCTTTAGATTATGGATGAACAAACATATTTTAAATTGTTTGAAACTAGATAGAGTGGGGATCAGTTATACTTCTCTAGGGGAGAAAATCCATAATCAGAATGCCACCATCTT